AGAATTGTTTATCACTGGAAATTAAAAAAAAACAAAGTTAAGTCCGGAAAGGTTTAAAATTTTGGTTAAAAGAAACCAGTAGTCATTCGGTTAAATGTATGGAATTCCCAAATAAAATCATTTTCCTGAAAATGGATATTGTAAAGCCATATAACATGGGTGCAAACTACTTGTTCTTTGTAGTTTTGATGACATTAAACTGGACAATGATATCTTATTCCCCTGACAATTCCTCGAAGTTCCTATAATCAGTCTGGAGCTAAACCATAGAAGCTAAACAACATCACAACCCTAATTAATACAAAGGAAACGGTTAAAGATTCATAGCACTATAGGGGAAATTATATGCAACTTTGTAGTTTTACAACCGTAATTAAGCAGCAAGAAAGTATAATTATATATTATAAAAATATATTGTTAGATTAAAATAGTAGTTACCTTTGTTTGGTTGATTTTTCCGTGCAAGATTGTGGTGGTGCGGTTTGGGACCTTCTAAATTTGTTTGATCTTGATTCTTCCAGAGAAATAGATGATGTTTAACGTTTACGTCATTCCATCAATTTAAACATTTTAAGCTTGAAAAAACCAATTAAAAATCCAACAGATTTTCCTAGAATCAGAAATTTAAATGTAGGCATTAGTTTATGTTCTATTAAAAAAAAAAAAAAGATTGATTTCATATAAACCTATTACAAATTGATGGTTCTATCAAGTTTCATAGTACCGACATTACTTACGATGGGATCTTGACTTCTATTCATCTTCTTTGGTTTTCTTATATGTAATTCTTTCGGTTTTTCTTTTTAGTTGTTATGTACTTTCTTTAGTAATTTGCTTTTACTTGAGAATTGTTGAACTGGAAAAATATGGTGATTAAAGAAGTTATTAGTACTCATAAGTTTGAAGGTCGAACTTTTGAAGGAGGTGGAAGGTTCTACAAATATCAAAGATTAGAATCATATATGAAAGGAGAAGGAACCCTCTCTAAATGCTGCCACGTTAGCTCTCCCGCAACTGCCACATGTCTTCCACACACAAAAAACTTCAAAACCGCCGATCAAACCGTTCACCACCACCCCCAGACTATAGTGAACCCAATCAATTATGAATTCAAGTTCATCGAAAACCAACGCATGAATTTCTTTCATCTATCAAAATCTG